TGACTGTTCCCCTGGTCGGGGGTGGGGGGGGGGCAACACGGTGACCCTCAGGTCCTCACCCACAGTCTGGGGAGGGTAGCAGGCAGGTGTCCCGTGCACGTCAGATCCCAGTCAACTCCAAGAAGGAGCGTGCTCCTCTCCGAGGCTTTAAACCTCCTCGTGCCTGTTTCTCCACCCTCCCACGCTGTCTGTCCAATGTTTTCAGAGGCATCAGGTGACCATTGCTGTCTTGGGATGTGGACAAGGCCACCACCTCTGAGGACCTGAGGGCCACCTTAGAGAACTGGATGGGGGACAGGATGTGACAGCTGTGGTCTGCCTACTCCCGAGCAGCCCTAAACTCAGGGTCTCCTTCTCCCCACAAAGACCAGAGTAGGGCCAGTGCTGACCTGCTTCTCCTCCATTTCCACGGAGAAATCCCAGGACAGAACCCGGCTGTCCTGGATGAAAGTCTGGGAGGGAGAAGGGCAGGGCCCTGGTCGGCTCTGGGCTGTGCAGATGACCTGCCTGGTCACAGGTAGCTAGTTGTGGGTGCATCTCAGGTGGGCATGTGCTGGGGTCGAGAGGTGACCCTGTCCCGGGGTCAGGAGGCCACGAACTCTGGAGAACAAGGTGGGTTTTCCAGGCTCTGAGCTGGAGAAATGTCGGGGAAAAGGGTGGCGCCTGTTGGGGTCCAGCCCCTTGGACTGTGTTTGCAGCGTCCAGGGGAGTTGTGGTGACAGTGAGCGAGGCAGGCGGAACTGCAGGTCTGGGGACCCAGATGACGGGGTAGCAGCCCCTGACCTGTGTCCCTGGATGGCAGAACCTTTCCGGGGCTTCACGGTGTTGTGGGGGGAGGGGGAGAGAAGGGCCCACAAGGCCTTCAGCGGGGCTCAAAGTGCAGGACCTCCGGCCACTCCTGCAGGTGGGAGTCCCCTGCCGGGGTCCCCGAGCCTCTGCGGTCCCACCCTCGTACTTGGCCCCCCCGCCCACGTGTCCAACCTGCACCTGTCCCTCCTCCAGCCTGTTCCCCCGCGCACCCGCTGACCCAGCCGCGTCACGGTGCGTCCGGCAGGTCCCTCGGGGCCGCAGGCTCCGCGTGCCCGCGCACCGCCAGCGAGCTCCGCGGCCGCCGGGCGCCAGGCCCAGAACGCGCGTCCCTCCCGGGGCGGCCCTACCCCCGACGGCTGAGCGCCGCGTGCCACCCTCCGCCCCGCCGCCGGCCCCCGCCTCGCCTCACCCCTCCGCTGAGCCCCGGCCCCGCGACCCAGGGACCTCCGCGGGCCAGCGCGCGCCACACCCGCCGGGGCCGCCGACCAGCGCTCGCGAGCCGGGCTGCGGGGCAGGCGCGGGGACCGTCGCCTCGAGGGCCGCCGGCCGGGCCCCGCAGAGTCCGTCAAGTCTGGTCGCGTCTCCTCCCGACGCTTCCCGGCTGCTCGTCTCTCGGGGTCGCCGACCACGTGTTGCCGCGGGCCTCGCGGCGCGTCTTACGGCCGGCCCTTCGCTCGGGGACACGCCGCCCGCCCGCCGGGCAGCACCCGCGGGGCTTCGGTGCCCGGACCCCGCGTGCCGCCGTCCCGCGTGCAGCCGTCCCTCCTGCCGGCCGCTGCGCGCGCATCCACCGCGCGGTGGGCGGGGCCTCGGGACGGGGCGGGGGCAACAGCGCCACCTGGCGGGCGGCAGGTGCACAGGCCCCTGGGACCCGCGGAGGCCGCTGCGCACACCGCACCGCGTTCGGCCCGATGACCCCGCACGGGCTGCGCGGCCCCGGAACTGGGGGGCGCGCATCATCCTGCGGAGGCCGAGCTGCGCAGCGCGGGCTGTGGGGCCGCGGCCCCCGCCTCAGCCGACCGGGAGGAAGTCGCCCCACGCTCCGGGGAAGCGCGGGCGCTGATGCGCGCCGTGTCCGACCAGGGACCCCGGGGTGCGCCCCGCGTGCCCGACCCGGCCGAGCCGGCTCACGGGGCTCACGGAGCGCGCGGCCGAGGCGGGAACGCCGGGCCGAGGCGGGGCATGCGGCGCGCGAGCTCGCGGGCCCGTGTCACCCGCGCGGACGGCGACCCGGACCCCGGGCTCCACGCGCGGCGGCCGCTGCCCCGGAGCAGGGGGCGCTCCGCGCGCCGCTCAGGCTGCGAACGGGGAAGCCCCGCGCCCGGGCTCAGGAGCACGCCCCGGGGAGGGGACCCGCGCCGCTTCCACGGACACGTAGGCGGTTCGACAGGAAAATTCAATTGTGAGCAGCGGACAGACACAAGACAGAACGCGGCTGTGCGCCCCGCCCCGCACGGCCGCCCCCGCGGCCCCCGCGGCCCCCGCCCTCCCCCGCCCCGCGCCCCGCAGGCCCCGCGCGCTGGGACTAGGGCGAGAGCTTGGAGTAGCTGGGCGGGGCCAGCTTGCGCTTCAGGTGCTTGAGCACGTAGAGCGGCAGACAGCTGACCGCGGTGACCGCCGACACCTTCCACACGAAGGCCGCGCTGGTGATGAAGGCGACGTCTGCGGAGACACAGGAGCAAGCGTCAGAGGCGGCCTCCAGCCCCCGCCGCCCGCCGCCCCGCCGCCCGCCACGGGCACCGGCCACGCGGGGCCTCCCGCGGTCCGTCCCGCACCCGCCGCCCAGGCGCGGCGCTTCGCTCCACGGAGTAGAGACCCGAGGGTCAGACACGCGCAGGGACCCCGAGCGCCCGCGGCGGCCGCACGTCCACGCAGGGCTCGGCCGCTTGCTCGGGGAGGCGACGCCACACCGGCGACCCGTGGGACCCGCGGGCCAGCTGTGTGGGCGGGTGCGGCCGTCTGGGGAAGCCGCCACCGGCCACTCCTGGGCACGCGGGCGCGTCTCACGCTCACGGAACAAAGCGGGGCCGCCTGAGTTCCGCGGGGAGACGCGCGTGCAAGAGCCGACCCGCAGCGGGTTCTCCCGCGGCAGCTGCCCCTCGGGCGCCCGGCGGGACGGGTCCCCTTGCGGGAGTCACGGCTGTTACACGCGGTGAGCCCAGTGCGCTCCTGCCCACAGCCGGCGGCCGAGGGTCTGGATTTCACCGCCCCAGAGACTCCCCGCAGTGTGTCTCGGGGACTCGACCACTAAGACACCGAGGCGGACACGCGGCAGGGAGGGTGCACGGCGCGCTTGGCTACACACGGAGGCCCGGGTACCGGCCCTCACCAGGCACGCCATGCCCAGGGGGTAAAAGCCCACGGGGGCCACGTGCTTGGGCCCCGAAGAGTCAGCAAGGAACAGAGGCAGCTGCTCGCCATCGGCGAGTCTCGAGCACCGTCCGTCTTCGCCCCTGCCTGTGAGAGGCGGCGCGCACCAGCGGACAGAAGGAAAAAGCTTTGCTTCTACGGTGGGACGGGCGCTTACTTCTCTGCCACGTGTAATGTTCCAGTTATGACAAAGGAGGAAATACACAGTTCCTGCACTTGAAACTCGCCCAAACACACGCATTTCGCGACCTGCAGTTCTGCGGTGAAGGAGACGCTTTCCCGGTACAGCTGCTGGGCGTTACCATCCGTGTTCGCCCGCAGAGTTCACCCGGCACGTTGCGTGACCACAGGTAACAGAAGCGCAAGGCTCTTCTTTCCTTCCTGGTGAAGACGAACCATCCCGGAGACCACCGGTGCGTGTGTGGCATGCTCCTCGGTGACAGAAAATACATGTCGACTGTTTGTTAAGGGTTAATGCTGTGGCCTTCAGACAGATTTTCCCACAGCCCCAAACCAACTGTGACACAGATGCAATTACTGCAGCAACGCTCCGGTGAGGCCCCGATCAGGGAGGGCCACCCGCATTGGAAGGTGGGCAAGTCAGAGCAGAACCCTCGTCCAGGGTAGGACCCGCTCCAAAGCGGCCACTGAACGTGGAGAACTTCTGGAAGCCTCCCGGCCTCCTGCAAAGGAACCCATGACGTCCGTGCCCTGTAGGACAGCCCACTCCAGAGGGCCGAGGGCACCGCTGCCATTAGTCGCCTTCTGCCCAGCCGGGCTCCTTTGAGGACGCTTCCGCAAGTGGCACTCACAGTCGGTGTCCACACCACGTCCTCTCAGCCCCACGGCCCGCTGGAGGCTCTCTCCTGCTCCACCGAGGACACTGCCCTCTGCACCTGGGGTACCTCCCCCCCGCCCCCAGGACACCTCCTCCAGGCGCACTCCCATGCCTGAGGCCCAGCCCCCAGCCGAGGCCGCTCCTCTGGCTTCTCCCTGGAGCTCCCCGGGTTGTCTTCACCCCTGAGGGCGCCTGGAGCCTCTGATGCAGCTGGGTCTTGGCGTGAGTCGGTCACTGTCCCCGGCAGGCGCTCTTCCCTGCAGACACGCAGACTTCAGATCTGGGTTTTTCCTGTGCATTCTCTTTCTGGGACCCCGTGGTGGCCAGAGGGCAGGCCTCCTGGAGGAACCCGGAATCCGCTGGTTCTCACCCTCCACCTGACTCTTCGCCTCCTTGGTCCTCTCCTGGAGGGCCCTTGGCTTAATTTTCGACTCCTGCTATGTATGTCTTTGCTAGCATGCTTCTCCCCGAGGGTTCCTCCCACCCTCTGGGCCCCTGGACGCACCTCCCCTGTCTCGTTCGCCTGAGGTTTCATGCCCCCCTCCCCGGGTTTGTTGCTGTCTTCCCAGCTGTTGGCTCACGGTGCGGCTGGGCGAGAACCTCTGTGGGGGGTGTCATTTCTTCAGCGCCCTCGGCCTGAGCACACGCCTGTCAGGCTCACAGACGAGCCTCGCGGCACAGGAGGCCGGGCAGGGGACGGGAACTTAACACTCAGAGTGTGAATTTACAGGAAGTGCTTGTTTGCACAGATAGTGGCCTGACGAGCGACTGTCTGGAGGCGACGGGGGCTCCCTGGCCGCTGGGCAGCAGGCTCTCTCCCTCGTGGGAGGCACGAACGTCAGCAAGTTGTGGAGGTTGGGACCTCTGCGCTGGTCCCACAGGGTAACGAAGGCCCATGACTAAGCAGCCCCACGCAGTGACAGTGAGCACTTCAGCTGTTACTACGGCCACTGACAAGACCACCAGACACGGTGCTATTTTCCCTTTTCTGAAAATCCTCTGGGAAATTTCACCTCAGATCAGGGAAGCACCCCGAGCCGTGTTTGTTTCATGCGGTGTGGACACGGTGACCGTTTCCGCCCTACGGGGGCTTGGGCCAGCTCTGGGAGCCTTGGAGCACCTGGCGGTGACGACCAGTAGGACGAACGTTGCCATTGGGCTCATCTGACAATATTCCGTCTCTTCTCGCTGCCCTAATTCTAAAAACCCTGAAAAGATCGTCTGCGCTCCCGTGGGCCACATGGGTCAACGCTGGGACAGCGAACAGTGTGACTAACATACTCTGGCTGGAAAGGCTTGGGGCAGGGACAGGGGGCAGCCGGCTGAGAGGAACGCAGACCAGGGCCAGCGGGGACGCTGGGCCAGAGCAGGCTGCGCGGGGCTTCTGTGCACAGCGAGCTCCTCCCGTGGCCAGTGGGCCCCAGGTTTTGAGGGAAGGAGCGTGGACAGGTCACATGAGCTTGCAGATAAGGGCGAAGTCTGGCCCACTTTCCCTCCGCTCTGTACAACAGGGTGACACGGACGAGCTTGGTGGCAACCACAGCCACAGTCTGAGTGTGGCCCAGCAGCCACGTGTTGGAACAGGTTCTGTGAGGCCACTCTGTCAAGGTCACTGGACTGGTGATAGTGGAGCTGGGATGTGCACACAGTGACCCTGCCACGGTGCCCATGATGCTTCTGACACACTGAAGATGCTGCTGGGGCGGAGGCCACCAGCGTGCTGTCCCGTGGCCTCCGTGTCCAAAGGCAGGCCTCGACTCCATCTGGGGAGCTTGTCAATTAGGAAAAAGGACAAATAATGCAGCTCTTGTGGAAGGAATTTTTGGAAACGGCAACCTTCAATATAAACTTTTGAAAAGCCAAGAGGGTGACAATCTGAATTTCGTAAAACTTTTTTTGTAAAAAAAATTTTTTTGTCAAAAAAAGTTTTACCTTTCCATAAAAATAAGCTTTTTGTGTAGTAAAGCCTTCCGATGTGGGTTTTACTATGGTTTGTAATTTAAGACAGTGTATCAAGAAGTAATAAAAAGGGGCGCCTGGGTGGCTCAGTGGGTTAAGGCCTCTGCCTTCAGCTCAGGTCGTGATCCCAGGGTCCTGGGATGGAGCCCCACATTAGGCTCTCTGCTCAGCAGGGAGCCTGCGTCCCCCCCACCCCTGCCTGCCTCTCTGCCTACTGTGATCTCTGTCAAATAAATAAATAAAATCTTAAAAAAAAATCACAAACAAATGTATAAAAATGAGTAACAGACAAGAAGGATTCCCATGGTAACTTACCAAAATACTCGTTTAAGAAAGCGAGGGAGGCCACGTAGCAGCCCAGGCTGAGGACCTCGGCCACCACCATCAGCCAGTGCCACGTCCTGACGGTCAGGGCCACCATGAGCAGCTCGGTGAGGATGAGGGCCGTGAAGGAGATGGCCACCACGTGCACAAACTCTGACTCGAACAGGAGCAGAGCCCCGTACATGAGGATGCCGCCTGCAACACAGGAGCACAGGGACCCGCGGCTGTCAGAGGGCGGGACCCGGCACCCTACCAGCCAGCTGCGCAAACAGGACAGACCGCGCCAGCCAACATACATCACACTCGGAAATGCGGGATCACGCATACCCCCCACTCTGTGTGGACAAACGATTTATTTAAACTCTGGATTATGAATAAAAGAAGACGTGGCACCAAAGAGAGGCTTAGGAACTTTTTAGTACTTGAAGACCAGGCCATCTTCAATCAGCATAACTGTGTTTTCGATGTGATCTACCTCATCGGCTAATTCACTTTTAGCAACCTCTCGTTTATCTGGAACACTCGCCAGACGGCTACTGACTTCTGTTTACCTAAGTGAGGTTTCTCACGGTCTGGACATCGCTCCGTGAACGGAAAGCACTTGGTGGGACATGACGTGGTACACGGTTGGTAAAATGTCTCCAGATTAATGTTTAATTAAAGACGTGCATCAGTAACCAACCAACCACCCGTTACGCTGCACTGTGAAGGGCCCGGCCGGCCGGCTGCTAGAGCACCGGTTCGGTTCCCGGGGCAAACACAGCATCGACGAAACTCGAAGCCTCTGCACTTCAGCCGAGCGGGGGAAAGGCCACCGCTGGCAGGAGACCAGAAACCCTCCATCCGGCCCGCCTTACCTTGGTAAACACTGACCAACACCCAGACGAGGAAGGTCTTGAAGGACAAGGATCTTCCCTAGGGTAAACAGTGGAGTAGCTTAGTTAGCAGAGGGGGACAACACGCGTGACTCACAGATTTCCAAACGGCTGGTTATGGGTACCTTCTAGAAGACCCCCAGGCCCCAAGCCCACGAACTGGCCTAAGACTTGCCTTCCTGCCTGTGCGCCGTGTGCACCAGGCCCAGAGCAGCGGGGCCCCCACTCACGCTCTGCTGACCTTTAGGGCACAGCCACGAGCTCCCCGGCTCCTGGTGCACGGTGCACATCAGTGAATGCTGGAAGGCACCGGGACAGAGACTCTCTGTCGTGGGAACGACTCCCTTCACGTCCTTATTTCTCAGGAACAAACACTCCTGTGTTTACCCCGTAGCTTCTCCAGGTGAGAAAGGACGGTTTCTCTCAGCTGGGGCCGGGGTTCACCAGCCCGCAGACCCCTTCTGGAGACGCCACGTCGGTCCGTCCAAGAGGGACACACAGAGTGGCTTTCAGGCAACAGCCTTCACTTTCACAACGGCGATGGGGCCACCGGACGTGTCCGTGATGGAAGAACTCGGCCTGCGTTCCCTCCACACCCAAGAGGGAGACACGCCATCCGCCAGCCGCACTGGCCTGCTGGTGCTCAGGGCTGGTCCACGGCAGTGCTTGTCAGGTGGGGCCTTGGGCATGATGGGCGCCGGACCCGTGTGGTCACACCTGGCATCAACCCTCTTGTGTGGTGCCGTGTGTCCGTCACACAGGGCAGACGCGGTCGCCAGTTACACACGACACAGTGCGAATGGTTCGAGGCTTCCCACGAGTCCGCGCTGTGGGTTAGCTGTGCTGGGTAGCGGACAGGTGACCCTTGACATGGGTTTGAACTGTGCGGGTCTGCTAATGTGCATTTTTAAAAAATATGGTATTTTAATATTTTAATAAATATGGTACTGTAAATGTATTTGCTTTTCCTTGTGATTTTCTTAACTTTTTCCCTCCGGCTGCTTTATGGTAAGAACACAGCACAGAGCACGTGTAACGCAGTCCGCGTTTCCGGGGTGGGTGAGGCTTCTGGTCACCAAGAGGCCTCTAGTCCCTGGGTGTTTGGGGAGTCAAAAGTGATATGCAGATGTCTGTGCAGGGGGTGGGTGCCCCAACTCCGCAGCGTTCAAGGGTCAGCGGCAAATGACCAGAGTCCGAAGCTCTGCCCGCGACCTGGGGCCTCAGAGGCACGTCAGAAGTACCGCCAAGGAGGGACGAGCTGTTGCGCAACAGATGCCCCAGGGCGCCTGCCACAGTGACCTGCAGAGTATCTGAGATCTGAGCCATGCCCACCTAGACTTGAGTGACGACTTTTCAAAAGGGACACAGGCCACAAGGCACGTGCGGCCACTCCACCACCTTCCTGGGAAATACCGGCTCAGACCTAACAGGTGTCCCTGCGAGTGGTGCTGGGTTTCAAAAGGGCGGGAGGTTTCAGGGGAAACACGTGTACATCCCCGTGCGTATGTGCCAAACGCGTTGCTCTGCCTGGACACCAGCAGGTGTTTGGTCTTTGATAAAACTCATGCAATTAGGAATGTGGCTAATTTTATTAGAATATTTTAAAAGAGAATTTAATTTTTTGATATAAACATGAAAGGTTTCCTCTGTAGCTAGATTTGCTGACATCTCTCCACTATTTTATGTGATATAACCAGCAGTTTACACAGTGAAAGGTACAGAGGGGGCTGTTTGCTCTCCTGCATCGGGAACTGCGAACTTCCCCCATGGGGCCTGTGAAGGTCAGCACGCCCTGTGCGCGCAGGTCAGAGCTCTGTATCCAAGCGGCGCAGCTTGATAAGGCAGAACCCCACAGAATGAGCACAGAAGCTGTCAATAAAATGACTGAGACGCGGTGGGAACTGTGCATAGACCACGAGCTCCTGGATGTGGTGCTTCTCAGGGCCCCAGACCTCAGCTTGGACAGACGCAGTGAGGGGCTCATTGTACTTGGTGGCACAGATATGCATGAACACTGGCCCCTGAAGGCAGACCCAGCCACGCGTGCAGGGGCCCTCCTGGGCTCACACGCCTCTCCTCCTGTGTTAGCGGAGGAAGAACTGCCTGTCTCCGGCTGCGGAAACTCCCCTGGCAGGAGCTCTGTCCGGAATCTGCGCAGACACCGCTCAGGGTCCAGCCGGCCCGGGTCTGAGTCCTGCTCGGGGCGCCCCAGGGCACACATTCAGCCTCAGTGAGTGGTCTCGTCCTCCGTGAACAGAAGTGATTAGAGATCCAAAAGCACCTTTCTATTACGTACCAACCAAACTGTAAAAATGAAATCAAGCAAATCTTGGGAAAGGTTAATCCCTCCTCAGGTTGTGCGAACAACTCACTAATCTACCTTGGTCTGAGACACGTGGGGCACAAGCGGCCGCACGTGTTGGTACGGCCGCCTCCCGCGGCCCCTCCGTCCCCGACTCCCGACGACCCCGACCCCAGGCTACTGCCCACCTGTCATCTGGGCCCAAAGCTCCACATTTCCCAGGGTGCCAGGCAAACGGGATCATACGAGCTTCTGAGTCGGGCTTCTTTTGTGTAGCAAATGCATTTAAGATTCCCCCATGTGGCTGGACACTGGGCGGTGTGGCTGCGGTGACTGGCGGCCCTGGCCTGGCGGCTGCCATTTCCTTACAGGATTCTGTGTGCCACGAGTTTTCACTTCTCTTGGGTAAATGCTGGGTCATGTGCTCAGTGCATTTAACTTCACCAGAACTGCCGAACGGTGCCCCGGGTGGTCATGCCACACCGTGTGCCCGTCAGTGGGGAGCGGGCATGTGGTGCTGCCACGCGCGGGACCCTGCCTTCCTGTGGTCCCCGCCGCCGTCCCCGCCTGAGACATGGTGGAGAGCACAGTGTCCCCAGATGCTCACTGACCACGTGCGCGTCGTGACCTGCGCGGCGCTGTCCCTCAGGGCTCTTCCCGTTTCAGTCATGGGGTCGCGTCCTTCGTGAGTTGTGAGGTTCTTTGTACTTTCTGGATACAAGGCCTCTGTCGGGAGTGGGATCTGCCAGGACTTCCAACGAGGATCTTGCTCTTCACTAGCTCGGCAGTGCCACCCACGGAACAAAAGTCTTGGATTATGATAAAGTCCAGCCTGGCAACGTTCCCCTTTCTGAATCATGCGTCCGAGCCGCATCTAAATAGGTCTGCCCCAAGGTCACGCACGTGTTCTTCTGCATTTTATTCCACAAGGCGAACAGCCGTACATTTTATGTCGGGTCTAGGACTCATTCTGAGGGAGCCTCCCCAAAACTGTGAGGGTGGCTGGAGGCTCCCTTCTGCGGGCGGCTCTGACGGCATTTGCTTTCCCTTCGCGCTTGTCAAAGATCTGCTTTGACACCTGCGGCTCCTGCCCTGGGCTCTCTGTCGACCCCACTGGTCCAGGAGTCTGTCCTCCGCCAAGAATGCCTCATCTTGGGTAGAGCGAGTCTTCCCAATTTGTTCCTCTTTTTAAAAACGATCTTGGTAATTCCAGTTCCCCTGCCTTTCCATGTAAATTTTGGAATCTGGCAGCTGTTGGGCACACGGAGTTTTCTGGTCACATTCTTTTGCACCTTTCAAAGTCCCTCTCGACAGTGTCCCACAGCGCACACATCCGGCACACGGTTTGTCAAACCGACTTTGCTTCTCTATTGCCAAGGCTGTTCAAAACCATCTTCAGACCTCAATGGTTCACTGCTGGGTTCACTGCTGGCACACAGAATCAGAAAGGAGAAGAGAGATTTTTTCCTTGAATCCTACCACCTTGTCAAACTTACTAGTCCAGAATTCTTGGGGCTTTTCCACAGAGATGATTATGTCATCTGCAAACAGGTCCTCCCCTAATTTCTGTCTTTCACTTCTTTTTCGTGCCTTATCACTGTTATTTCTAAAATTATATTCAGAATACAAATACACATTCCCAAGCTAAAACCATTTGAGAATATTCAACGGGAAGTAAAAACACAGTGAAGTGACCCTAACAGTGTGTGTCGGACGGCGTCAAGGATTCTGATAACAGACCGCAGGACACCACCCACTTGATTCTCCTCACAACTCCCTCCACTGCCACCCACGGCCTCGCAGTTCGAAGGTTACCTTCGTGAGCATACAACCACGTGCTGCTCGTGGAACCGCAGCTGTATGTCTGAGATATCAGGACCAGGAGGGCCGGCTCAGGTGAGCGTGGGTGACCCTGGATCTCAGGATCGCATGGCCTTTCTCGAAGGGCCACAGACTGGGGTAAATAGAGTCATCTGTGCCGTTGGGAGGGGTGGGCACACGGGGTCCCTGTCCCACTGGCAGCATCAGAAAATGGCGAGGGGCTACTCATCGTGAGTGACGTGCGAGCATTCGAAGCAGAATCTGACCTTTAAAAGAGGAACAGCAGAAGTGGTCAGAGACACGTCACTTCTGCAAGGGTGAAGCGACAGGCCTTCAGGAAGGGGAGGGGAGGGGAACGCTGCTTCTTCGCCAGACGGCTCGCGGAGCCACTCCTGAGCACAGCATGGATTCCAGGCTGGGCTCAGGCCTCCAGAGAGAGCTGGGAGCAAACATCTGTGTTCCGGACTGGCTGAGCCCGTTAGAGGATGTGAGTCAGATCTTTAAGGCCTGGGCTCTGCCTCACATCTCAGAAAAAAAAGACAGGTTATCAAATAAGTATGAAAAGCGGTATTTTCTTTCAAAGCATGGTACTTTCCCCTCTGTTCTGCTCGGGATATGTACGCTGCTTCCCGATTCCTCTGAAGGTCTGTTGGGAATGTGCTGCGGCCCTGGCCTTCTGCTCAGAACAGGCTGGACGCAGCCCTGCCTGTGGCCTGTGTCATGCTGCTGCTTGTCATGTCATTCACCCTGAATTTACTTTTTCTTTCCAGACTGAGCGTGGGCTTCCTGGGCCAGAGTGACGTCTTGCTGGCACCTCTAGCAGCCGCAGACCCAGCGCGTCCTACACGGACAGGCCAGGCGGACGGGCCTCCCGCGTCACCGCCAAGTGTCAGAAGTAACGGAAAGCTTCCAAATCTGTGCTTCAGTAAGAAAACATAACTGAATTGTATCGAGTTCGGTGGTTAAGTACTTTAGCGACACTTTGTTTTCGAAGGATTTGAAGTGGATCAGATTTTGAACAAAGTGTTTACTTTAGAAACACAAGAGGGATGGATTTTGGATCTTGAAGAAAAGGAGCCTTTTCTTCAAGAACGATCACGAGCAGCTGAACTCCTGTCCCAGTCATGGAAGAACGGCGTCCGGGCTCCAGCGCACCGAGATGCTCCCAACGAGCCGCCACCAAGACGGGATCTCCTGCTCAGTCAGCACCGAACTCTCCTTCCTGACACACTCGTGCTTTCTGTGTCACCTCATGGGGACGTCTGCGGATTCAGGGCTACCTGGGACCCTGTGGGGATCTTCTTGCTCCCAGAGCAACGGAGGTGCTGATGGCCGGACTTCTGAGACAGGGACTGTCAGGCCTCCGACAGTGGGTGTTCATCCCACATCCCACCGGCAGGACTGCTCCGATGTTGACCATCTGGTGATGGTGCCCAGGCTGACCCGCAGTGACCGTGAGCAGCGGAGACACTGGCCACCTATGATTCTAGGGAACTCATCTGGTTTTGTTTGTACGTGAAGAGCTGGTTTCCCCCTTACGTCTGTGAGGCAGCATTTAAGTGAACATTTCTGGAGTTTATGGAAATAAGGAAACACATAATCTACTAAAATTATAATTCCTCATAAAAGCTTCCTATAGTTTTTAGATCTTTGATCCTGTTCTGTTTTACTGAATGATAACAGTCTCACCATTTTAGAATATTAAACCAAAAAGTTTTCCTTTTACTTGTAATATTCACAGTGTTATCATCAGGATACCAATGCTACATATATACACATCTGGAAATATGTCTTATATACACGTTTCATCATGAAATCACATACGGTGTTATCGAACAAGGGCTGACATTTTATTTTACGCTGTGCTGCTCCATAGCTTTCTTTCCGTCCTCACTGTAAAAGCCGCGTGAGCACGTCATATGTTTTCCAAGAACCTTTAAGTCTCAATTCCATCCGGCTCCTGTAACACCATGAAGCCTGACGATCATCGTGGCTTGAGCAGGCACAGGACGCGGTTCTGAGTGGTGGGTGGTTCTGGTTCTTTCTCCGTACTGCCAAGGTTTTAAAGATCCGAGTCAGTAATTTCAGGTTATCACTTATGAACCTAGATTTGATTGGGGGTGAGTGGGTTTTGTTCTCAGTGCTGCTTCAGGAAAACTCCAAAGGCACCACGGCTCGTCCTTGGAGGACTGGGGGTGTCCCGTGGAGCTCGTCTTCCACGCTAGAGAAAGAGGGTTTCGTGAAGAAGTGTGGCCAGCTTGACGCTTTCTTCAGGAACGCCTGCATCTGGACGTAGCTCTGCGCCAGAGGAAGGGATCCTCGGCAGGTTCAGGGGGCACACGTTCCCCAGCAGCATCCTGTTACCTCAGCCCTGGGTCCCAGTGACAGACTCTCCACCTTTCCTCAGACGTGATGCTGAATGCACGGCGGAGGGAGGCTTGGGTAGGCACAGGACTCCCAGCCGGCGACTCTGAGTTCAAAGCGCTGGGACGCTGCCACGGTGGACACAAGCCTGTCCCGCCCCAGGGGACACCACTGTCATCAAGTGTCCCTCACCGGGCACTCGTCTGCCACAGGGCGAGCCCAGTCACCACGGGTTCAAACACGGTTGAGCACCTTTAAAATTTCAGTTGTGGCACGACATCAGAGCTTTACTGCAAACATGAGAAAACAATTGTTTCCCCTTTTTAAAGTCGAACTCAAAAGGAACACGGCCAAAACAGCTGGTCGTAAAAACCATCTGAAGGACAGACGTTACTCAAGACCTTCTGGCAGCTGCTTCACGACGGGCGCGTCTCCTCCCAACACCAGCAACGGGTCTGCTGGTCCCCGGCCCCACGCCTGTACCTTGGTGAGGTCCTTGTAGAGCTCTGGGTACAGCATGGCCATCTCCGGCTTCACATCCTGGTCCAGCACTAGCGAGAACACCGGGAACATGGTGTAGAGAGTCGCGTACCTACAACCGAGACAGGGCGGTCAGCGGGGAGCACGCACCACGGCCGACACACCTGTCGTCAGAGGCCAGGACCCGACACGCGGCTGCAAACTCAGATTCGATCCCAGGGCTCAGCGTGCGGTGTGGGAACCCCATCTGGGAGCCACAAGCGCTCACAGGAACCCACTTTCTTTTTTTTATTTTTTTATTTTTTTTATTTATTTTTTTTTTTTAAAGATTTTATTTATTTATTTGAGAGAGAGCACATGAGCAAGGAGAAGGTCAGAGAGAGAAGCAGACTCCCCGTGGAGCTGGGAGTCCGATGCGGGACTCGATCCCGGGACTCCAGGATCATGACCTGAGCCGAAGGCAGTTGTCCAACCAACTGAGCCACCCAGGCGTCCCAGGAACCCACTTTCTTAATGACACTTTCTATGTTGAGGTCACTCTGGACCCACAGGCGGGGCACGAAGCAAGCCCAGGGGCCCTTCCCCCGGTTCACCCCGCGCACACCTCAGCCCAGTCCCGCCGCCGCCACGCCCAGGACCCCCGACGCCCGCCCCCCCCCCGCCACCTCCGTAAGTCCCCTGGTGCGGCTACGTGTGAGCCTTTCCACCCAGCCCAGCTCCCGGGACGCTGCTCCGGGCGCTGTGGCAGCTGCGCTCGCCCCTGCGGGCCGTTGGCCAGCACTCGCCGTTGGACCGTGCCGCCTCCGACCTGCTCGCTCGCTCAAGGGCATCAGGGTCATTCGCGGTGTTTGGTTCTCACGGAGCACAGCTGTGAACGCTCACCGCACGGGTGTTTCGTGAGTCTCTGTTCATTCTAACAGGAGGGCCACCTGGGGCCATTAGCCCAAGGGTCTCATTGCGGAGAAACACGGACTGTGCCGGCTGGCCGGGCGCGTGCGGGCCCCGCTTCTCTGCACCCCCACCGTCTCCCTGATGGCTGCTGACGGGGACATCGTGCAGGTGCTCACAGACAGCTACAAGCTCTGGGTCAAGCTCCGCCCGAGCCGTCCGTCGGTCGGTCTGCAAGCCGACGGCTCTCTTCCTGCCGGAACGTGAGTGCCCGGATGTGTGGTGGCGAGTGTGTGCCCGTCGCTCCTGAAGGAAGAGCTCGCCGCAGGTGGCCGTCTCGGTCCGCACTGCTCTCTCCTGCCTGGCCCTGGTGAGGACCCCGCGGTCCCTGGGGCCACTCCTCCCCCGCTCCCTGTCTTCATGGTTTGTCCTCTGTCTCCCCGAGTCTTTGTGTGACGTGTTTCGGTATGGATGTCTCTGCAAGCACCCTTTGGGACATTTTCAGCCATTCTCTCTTCTGTAGCCCAGCACCCCTGTCCTCCCTCCGGAGCCCCAGGGACACGAAGCTGCAGCCCCTGAGGCTCTGCTGGTCTCTGGGCTCTCAGGGTGCTCCCAGGGGTGCCGTCCCGCATCCCACCCTCGGTGGGCCTCCGCTCTGCTGTGGGCCGGGTCCGTGGCCTGTGCTGGGCTTGGCGGTCAGTTTCCATCGGGTTCTGCTCTCTATTTCCTATTTCCAGGCGGACGTGTTTCATCCTCCTCTCTGTTCTGACTGCTCCTGCTGCTCATTAAAGTACATCTTCACGGCGGCTTCAACTCCTGTGTCACACAACCCCAACACCTCTGGCATCTCAGGGCCATCGTCCATTGTCTTCTTGAATCACTCGGAGCTCTTCCTGGTTCTCAGCAGAGCAAGTGACTGTCTATTGAAACTTGACGTCTGGGTGCCACGTAGAACACTGGGTCTCCTGGTGCTGCTCTGGTGGGAAGCGGGTGCAGCTGTCCTCCCCCAGGTTGGGGACAAGTCTAGGTTCCTCCCTGTGTGACACCCAACGAGGCTGCTTGTTATCGCTGGGTATGTGTGGGGTCTCGGCTCTGCACTTTGCAGGGAGGTGGGGGGGTGGTGTTTCTGTGGCATTGGTGGGACAGAGTGGCTGCCGTCTGAGCGCCGTGTGTCTGGCAGGCCAGAGCACACGCGTCTTCCACCTGGGACACCCGCGGGAGCTTGGCTGTGCTCAGCAAGTGCACCTGCACCGTCTTTGCTGACGCAGGACTGATTTCTTCTAAATGACATGTGCACCTGTGACAAAGCTCAGTAGCCCTGTCCTCGAACGGACTTCCATGGTCACTGGTCCAGGAGGCGCTGCCCCATCCAGGACCGTGGGTCACGAAGGGCACACCGTGTCAGGGAAGGCATTTCGGCCTGCCTCCTATCGCTGCGTGTCCGTGGAGGCCACCGGGGGTTGAAATCCATGTGCTTCAGAGCGGTCGGTCCTGCATGAGATTAAATAGGCTCAAGACCAGAATTTCTCCAGATCTGTTTTTTTCTTTTTTAAGGTTTTTTTTATTTATTTGATCGGGAAAGAGAGAGAGCACGAGCAGGGGGAGCAGCAGCAGAAGCAGGCTCCCCGCCAAACAGGGAGCCCGACGTGGGGCTCAATCCCAGGACCCTGGGACCATGACCTGAGCCGAAGGCAGATGTTTCACTGACTGAGTCACCCAGGCGTCCCCTTTCTTCCAAATTTTTAACTTTGTCAATCTTCTCAGAACTCCCACCCACTGAGAATGTGGGGGCTGAAAGCACCAGAGAGGCCGGCAGAGCCCGGCTGATGGGCACAAGGCAGGTGACCCCCTCCAGCACTGGCAGACGCAGCCGTCGCACGAGTGAGCCCCGCAGCCAGCTGAGAGCGGCCTGTCCCCGAGGACGACGCTGAGAACGTGCTGCACTGGCAGATGACAGGCAAAGAAGGGGTCTGGTGCAACAAGGTGGGACAGGTTCTTGACCCGGCGTCTCGTGGAGACGTCCACTTGCTGACCTGCGCGGTGAGCCTCTCAGAGGTGCTGTGACACACAGGGTTCCCCAGGACTCGGCCAAGGAGTACCTCCTGGAGGGGAGGCCACAGTGTGTGGCCGGACTGTGGCGGGAGCACCCACGCTGCCTCGCCCGCATCAGCGGCCCCTCCGAGCCGACGCGATGGAGGAGGGTGGACACCTGCAGCAGGAGGTGCTCTAAACTCATTCACTGTTAGCGGAACAGGGGCCTCTGCGACCCTGCAGGCTCCAGGGCCAGAGGTTCCGTCTCAGGACGTGACTCCTGTCTCGTCTTTCGTAAAAGCATCGCTTTCCTTCCCAGCCACGTCTGACGGTTGTTTTCTAGGTGAGGACAAAACTGATTCTACGGTTTCCTGTTGAAGAAGTTTCACATGAGAAGCTCTCTCCTCCACTCCCACCAAATTCGGCGTATTGATGCTTAAGAAAATTACGGCTGCCTCAGGTGACGGACGCGCAGAAAAACCCCGAATGAAGCCAACGCAGACAGGCGCTTCGAAAGCACTCGGGGCTCCTGCTGACCAGGGAAGGATCCAGTCGGGCCCGCGGCCGCAGCTTCACTGGCCCGGGCTCTGCCATCTAAGGAGGAGTCACCACTGTCCCCCAAATTTTCCTCTGAGTGTTTCAAATCCATAGCTTTAAAACGTGAAAGGAAGTGGGGATGGTCCCGCGTTTCTCCGGCCACCAGGGAAGCCGTGCGCCAGGCAGACTCCAGACGCGGCAAGGTCCTGAGTCACCCCATGCTCTCTGAAGGCCCTTCACGGGAGGGGCACTGTGAAGACCAAGGCGACGGGAAACAGTAAAGCGTGGCTGGAGCTGTTGGCGCCCTCACGGTCTCCCCTCGGTCGGTGCTAGAGCCACTGGAGAGTTGGCGGCCACGCGGAACAGCGCCGGGCACCTTGGACACCAGAGCCACAGCCATGATGGGAGCCCCCCCGCCCAGGCCCGGTCCATCGGGAGCTCAGGCCAAAATGCAGAGCTGGCGCTGTGGCCTGCAGGAAGGTGCGGGTCCGGCTCCCTGGAAGAGGTCCACCCAGGTGAGGGGAAGAGCCCCCGGCCAAGGAGACAGCTGGTGAGAAGGCGCAGCGCCCAGGGAAAGGGCAGGCCGTCCCGCCAGCTGGCACATGCAAGTGGGACACTCAGGGCCGGCCCAGCATGGTGTGGGGAGAGCAGCCCAGGCTCCCCGGTGGATGAAGCCTAAGGAGCACCAGGAAGCATCTGCCATCGGCTCTGCCCTGCGACGCTGGTGACTTGCGGCCCCAGTGTGTTTGGCAGAGCCTGACAGGCCCCATCTAACGCGCCCCGTCTCTTTCAAATCATCAGGGACCTTGGGGTTCGGGGAGTTGTCCGATGAGACATGTTCAGGAAGTGTAGTACTTCGAACACCTCCTCGGGGCAGAAGAGCTCGTGTGCCTGTTCTCCGCAGCCTTGGAAAGCAGCTAAATGCTGCGGGAAGGCCAGCCTGTCTGAGGCCAGCCCCAGGAGGTCCTCCCAGCAGCCCTGTGGCCTCCAGCACATTCCCAGGCTCCCTGGGCAACTCCTTCCTCGCCCGTGACATGGCAGCGTGGGGTGCCCGTTCCCTATGATGCCATGCAGAGGGGGTCAGCGCTCTGAACCGTCAGGGAGCACTGGGGTGACCTGCTCCTGCCTTCCGAGTGCGAACGCGTATGGGGAATGCATGGGCCGTGGGGGTGTTGGGTTCCGCGGGGCCGGTGTGGGGGCGTCGGGAGGCACCAAGTGCACTTCACTGCCACAGTGGTTTATGTCCTGGCGGAAGTCCGAGGGATGAGGGGAAGAGCAGCTCTAAACTCATTCACTGTTAGCGGAACAGTGGCGGCTACAACGGCACGCACGGGGCAGTCTCCGACCTACCCTCCCCGGCTGCTGAGTGGGGACCTTGAAGAGAGCTCGTTACCACTAGGGAGACGGTCGGTGTGCGCTCGGGCGTGTCGTGTCCTGTCCCAGCACCCCGTGCCTACGCGTCTGCTGCTGAGTGGTCACTGGTCACGACCCAGACACACCCCCGGAGTCCCAGCCTCCCGGGTCCCAGCCTGCGAAGGGGCTGCCACGGCGCCTGGGCGTCCCCCAGGGACACACACGTTCTCCAGACCAAGCAGCAGGAGATGGCAAGGGGCCCAGCCCCTGACGCGGTTCTTACTCTCACACCGACCAAGCGCGGTGACTCAGACACACTCTAGCTGTGGTTCGGCACCGGGAAGTCCTCCCCGACCGAAGCTGGGCAGGTGTGGGCAGGTGTGTGCCGGCCGCCCCACTTACCCCACCATGAGGAATCCTTGGTACAGAGGCACGGACGCGAAGTAGAAGACAGAGGAGAACACGGCCTTTGGGAGAGGAGAGCACCGGTCAGGCCCACACTTGCCCTCCCGGCGGCCCCGCCCGCCCCGGCGCCGGGCCCCGCGCACCTGCATCGTGGAGATGATGAGGCCCCGGTGCATGACAAACTGGCCGAGCGCGGCCGAGCGCTTGTAGCTGCTGCGCCCGTGCACCACGAGCAGCCGGCCGACGTGCCTGAACTGCGTGATGGAGAAGTCCGCGGCCAGGGAGGCCTGCCTGCCCTCCTGGAACGAGCAAGTGCCTTCCTGAAACCCGGCGCGCGAGGAGCAGGCGCCCCCAGAAGGGACCTGCAGGACTCAGCCTCCGCCTGCTGGAGCCAGGCGACGTCCCTACGACCTCGGCGGGGACGGGCTGGCAGGGTGTGTCCGGCAGCCGCGGGCAGCTCTGCGGGACCCCCTCGCAGGACAGACCTGAGGCAGAGAGCTGAGCGTGGCACCTGCCTCCAAGACTGCCTTGGGGTCCCGGAAACAGCCGCTGGCTGCAGGGGGAGAGCCGTCAAGGCTGCTTCCGGACACCGCGGGGCACCAGGAAGCACAGTGGCCGAGGGGGAGAGCCGTCAAGGCTGCTTCCGGACACCGCGGGGCACCAGGAGGCACAGTGGCCGAGGGGGAGAG